TATAAAATTTTCATAGCTGTTCAGAAAGAGATTAAACCCTGGAGTAATGGCAATGTTTACCTATCAGTGTGCTAATTTCCCCCCGGCCTCCTGTTAACCTATCACTGCTAATTACCCCCGGCCTCCTGTTAACCTATCAGCGCTAATTACCCCCGGCCTCCCGTTAACCTATCAGTGCTAATTACCCCCAGCCTCCTGTTTACCTATCAGTGCTAATTACCCCCGGCCTCCTGTTAACCTATCAATGCTAATTACCCCCAACCTCCTGTTAACCTATCAGTGCTAATTACCCCCAGCCTCCCATTTACCTATCAGTGCTAATTACCCCCGGCCTCCTGTTTACCTATCAGTGCTAATTACCCCGGCCTCCTGTTTACCTATCAGTGCTAATTACCCCCGGCCTCCCATTTACCTTCAGTGCTAATTACCTCCGGTCTCCTGTTTACCTATCAGTGCTAATTACCCCGGCCTCCTGTTTATCTATCAGTGCTAATTACCCCCGGCCTCCTGTTAACCTATCAATGCTAATTACCCCCAACCTCCTGTTAACCTATCAGTGCTAATTACCCCCGGTCTCCTGTTAACCTATCAGTGCTAATTACTCCCGGCCTCCCGTTTACCTATCAGTGCTAATTACCCCCGGTCTCCTGTTAACCTATCAGTGCTAATTACCCCTGGCCTCAAGTTTACCTATCAGTGCCAATTACCCCGGCCTCCTGTTTACCTATCAGTGCCAATTACCCCGGCCTCCTGTTTACCTATCAGTGCTAATTACCCCCGGTCTCCTGTTAACCTATCAGTGCTAATTACTCCCGGCCTCCAGTTTACCTATCAGTGCCATTTACCCCGGCCTCCTGTTTACCTATCAGTGCTAATTACCCCCAGCCTCCCGTTTACCTATCAGTGTGCTAATTACCCCCAGCCTCCCATTTACCTTCAGTGCTAATTACCCCCCGGCCTCCCATTTACCTTCAGTGCTAATTACCCTCATTTACCTATCAGTGCTAATTACCCCCGGCCACCCATTACCTATCAGTGCTAATTACCCCCGGCCTCCTGTTTACCTATCAGTGCTAATTACCCCCGGCCTCCCATTTACCTATCAGTGCTAATTACCCCCGGCCTCCTGTTTACCTATCAGTGCTAATTACCCCCGGACTCCCATTTACCTATCAGTGCTAAATACCCCTGGCCTCCCATTTACCTATCAGTGCTAAATACCCCTGGCCTCCCATTTACCTATCAGTGCTAATTACCCCGGCCTCCCGTTTACCTATCAGTGCTAATTACCCCCAGCCTCCGGATGAAGGAGTATGCATATACTCCAAAACTTTGTGTTCCTCATAATAAAGAAGTTGACATCCCTAAAATCTCTTCCCTAATGTTATACATAAAACTCTATCTACCTTCAGTGCTAATTACCCTCATTTACCTATCAGTGCTAATTACCCCGGCCTCCCGTTTACCTATCAGTGCTAATTACCCCGGCCTCCCGTTTTCCTATCAGTGCTAATTACCCCCCGGCCTCCCGTTTACCTATCAGTGCTAATTACCCCCAGCCTCCCGTTTACCTATCAGTGTGCTAATTACCCCCAGCCTCCCATTTACCTTCAGTGCTAATTACCCCCCGGCCTCCCATTTACCTTCAGTGCTAATTACCCTCATTTACCTATCAGTGCTAATTACCCCCGGCCACCCATTACCTATCAGTGCTAATTACCCCCGGCCTCCTGTTTACCTATCAGTGCTAATTACCCCCGGCCTCCCATTTACCTATCAGTGCTAATTACCCCCGGCCTCCTGTTTACCTATCAGTGCTAATTACCCCCGGACTCCCATTTACCTATCAGTGCTAAATACCCCTGGCCTCCCATTTACCTATCAGTGCTAATTACCCCGGCCTCCCGTTTACCTATCAGTGCTAATTACCCCCAGCCTCCGGATGAAGGAGTATGCATATACTCCAAAACTTTGTGTTCCTCATAATAAAGAAGTTGACATCCCTAAAATCTCTTCCCTAATGTTATACATAAAACTCTATCTACCTTCAGTGCTAATTACCCTCATTTACCTATCAGTGCTAATTACCCCGGCCTCCCGTTTACCTATCAGTGCTAATTACCCCGGCCTCCCGTTTTCCTATCAGTGCTAATTACCCCCCGGCCTCCCGTTTACCTATCAGTGCTAATTACCCCCAGCCTCCCATTTACCTTCAGTGCTAATTACCCTCATTTACCCCTCAGTGCTAATTACCCCCGGCCTCCTGTTTACCTTCAGTGCTAATTACCCCCAGCCTCCTGTTTACCTATCAGTGCTAAATACCCCCGGCTTCCCGTTTACCTATCAGTGCTAATTATCCCGGCCTCCTGTTTACCTATCAGTGCTAATTACCCCCAGCCTCCTGTTTACCCCTCAGTTCTAATTACCCCCGGCCTCCTGTTTACCTGTCAGTGCTAATTACCCTGGCCTCCCATTTACCTATCAGTGCTAATTACCCTGGCCTCCTGTTTACCTATTAGTGCTAATTACCCCCGGCCTCCCGTTTACCTATCAGTGCTAATTACCCCCGGCCTCCTGTTTACCTTCAGTGCTATTTACCCTCATTTACCTATCAGTGCTAATTACCCCCGGCCTCCTGTTTACCTATCAGTGCTAATTACCCTGGCCTCCTGTTTATCTATTAGTGCTAATTACCCCCGGCCTCCCGTTTACCTATCAGTGCTAATTACCCCCGGCCTCCTGTTTACCTTCAGTGCTATTTACCCTCATTTACCTATCAGTGCTAATTACCCTCGGCCTCCTGTTTACCTATCAGTGCTAATTACCCTGGCCTCCTGTTTACCTATCAGTGCTAATTACCCCCGGCCTCCTGTTTACCTTCAGTGGTAATTACCCTCATTTACCTATCAGTGTGCTAATTACCCACGGCCTCCCATTTACCAATCAGTGCTAATTACCCCCGGCCTCCTGTTTACCTTCAGTCCTAATTACCCCCATTTACCTATCACTGCTAATTACCCCCAGCCTCCTGTTTACCTTCAGTGCTAATTACCCTCATTTACCTATCAGTGATAATTTAGTCCTGGCTTTCAGTTGTCCATAACTATCAGCGCTAATTACTGTAAAGTGCTGGCTTCCATTGTCCTTTGCTTATCGCCTATCAGCGCCAATTATCTGTTGGCTTCCCTTGTTAAGTTTTCACCTTTTGTTATCGTATTACTTTTGTTGCTCTTACATGTACACGCTCTCTGCCTCATGGCATTCATTCACATGATGAAGGAGTAAGCATATACTCCAAAACGTTGTGTTCCTCATAATAAAGAAGTTGACATCCATAAATTCTCTTCCTAATGTTATACATTAAACTCTATCGTGTGCTAAATGCCCCCTGACAATCCCCTTTCAACCAGGAAGTGACTTATGCCATTCATTTGTCTGTATTTCATCTGTGTGTCGGCAACTGTAAGCATGTGTCGTATATTTTCATTAAATGTGTCACTTGTCACTATCGGCTATGTAGTAATACTTTAACCATAGACTTCACAGAACTATATTTTGTTGTTCTGTGGAGGTGGCACGGGTGGCCCAGTCGTCTAAGGCGCCGTGATTCGCTGTGCAGAGTTGCGTCCCTTGGGCATGCCAGAAACCTATGATTGTGGGTTCGAATCCCGGTTCGCCCAGATTATGTTTCTAGGTTTGTCAGCACCATACCCGCGCTCATGGGTTTCACTGAAGTGGTAAATGTCTGAGACCTGCATCACTTCGGGCTTTCCTCCCACAATAAGCTGACACGCCGTGATATAACTTGAGTAATGTTAAAAGTCGCGATAAACCCAACTCACTCACTCACTGTTGTCCTGTGGAATGAGGCCGCCATCAATATATATATTGTAGGAACTTCTAGAGCTGGGATATTAAGTGATCGACAGGAACTATAGTCCGTTTGCTGCAAAATCATACTGATGAAATGCGAAAAAATATAAATCCGAAAGCTACTATTCGTCTTGAATGGCATGAAAGTTATTTATTTGTCCATACCAACTTGTCACTATAATTTCCGACATTGTCATGAAGTAGAGAAAAAGTAGTTTTTCAAACTCTAATGAAATTGTTGGTGTTTTAATGCCTGTTGTTACAAGGGGATCTGTCTGACTGTGATTGATACTTGTGTCAAGAAGTAAGTGATTGTCCCACCAATAGAAATTATGGAGCTTTGTGGTTGTATGTGGAAGCGTCACAAGAGCGGCATATTCATGATTCGGAGCAACTGTGACCACGATGATATCATTGCAACAATGGTCATGGGGTAATACTGTATGATCTTTACTTCACATGTGATATTTCTTGTAAATATACTACTCAAAACAAGATAATGACCATTTTCCTGGGGCCAGCGTGTCCACTGGCCTATATCAAACTCTCGTTTCTACCTTTGCCACAACAAGGCCACTTTCTTGGCTCGACCCTGGCGCCACATCGCGTAGATCACAAGTTGTGCCCCTTGTAATGAAAACGCGGCATCCAATCAGAACGCTGTTCTTATCTCGTAGCTGCACAAAAATGGCGACTACCATAGGCGACGACCTAGTCGATCAGATAACGAAAACATTTGTGATATCATCCCAGAAACAGAGGCAGTTGTTGGGGGGTTTAAAAGATGTAAAAGACATATTCGTGTCAACAAAGACCGCGGTAAATCACTTTCATACGATGGTGTTCCAGTCGTGGATGTTGATTTTGTGAACGTTTTCTGATTGGACTATCGATATGTGTGATAGTCCAATCATATTTAGCACAGGAAAGAGGGCTTGATGTGGCAAGGGTGGAAACAAGACATTGATATAGGCGACTGGACGCTCTTGCCTCGTGAAGATGGATAATGACTCACTATAATCATATTTAAATAAAAGGGTGTTCTTTAACTTCTTTTGAGTCGTGCAATTGAAGACATTCAGGTGACTGTAGGACTATCAGAAGGGGAGAAAACACAAGGTTCATACCATTTGTGGCGACGATGACAACAATGAGGACAACGATGATGATGGCGAGGCAGAGACTGAGGATGAGGAAGAGCACCTCCATGCGCGTCCAGCCTCCCAGCCACGTTGGCTTCCACTTCCCCGACTTCTGGGGGGGTCTGAAACACATGGAGACATGCAGCAGACGTTTTTTTATTAAATCTTTATTGTTCCCAGAGTAATACAGTATTCTTTAAAAAACATATTTCGGATTGCATAGAATGCCACACTAGACTCTTTAAACATGTTAAAATTGAAAGGTTTGGACACAAACATTGTCACATTTCAAACTAAAAATGTTGCAACACACAATCAGACTCAAACATAGCATGTATCAACAGAGATCTAAGAATCATATGCTGAGAATAAAAGTGACCATTTTTTGTTATTAAGTCATCCTTTTTTATATCAATAAATTTGAATACACTCTTTTAATTAGTTTTAAAAGTACATATATTTTCGGTTTGATTCCTTTGATTCCACAAACATGAATATGCCTTTTTCCCCAAAGAAAGTATATGATTTATTAAAGTATTAGAGTAGTTAGAACCAAACCAAATAAGATATTTTGTCAATTTAATTTTTTGTGAAAGATAATTAGTGAGCCAAAGTTCGAGATCACTCCAAAATTGAACATGCAGCAGATGCCTTGAGACGATAAACTACCATGTTTGGAAATTTGACGTACTCTTACTGTAGAATAGATACCTCTATTCAATTTTGAAATAAGTGCTTTTAGATAAGAGATATCTAATGTTTTGTTTTTTAGCCCATGTAAGTTAACATTTTATGTTTTTTAGCTGTTGTGAGTTGACATTATATTTTTGGTCAGCCCATGTGAGTAAGCGTTTTATGTTTTTAGCCCATGAGAATTAAAATTATATTTTTTCTTAGCCAATGTGAGTAAACATTTTATGTCTTTTAGCCCCACTGTGTTAATGTTTTTTGTTTTTTTTAAACTTTTTATTAAGTTGAAAAAAACCAAAAACATTAACACAGTTGGGCTAAAAAACAAAAAATAATTTTTATTTTTCTTAAATATGTCTTCAAAGCCTTCATTTGACTTCAAGAAGTTTGAAAGGAGAGATTGACTGATGACAATTTAACATGACATGCTGTTATAAACTCCATGCACTTGTCAATTTCATGTTGAGAAAATAATCTAAACTGATTCGAGTGAACATTTGTAGGTCAAACCTAGACACATTCATCATTAATTCAAGACGACCTTTCACTGCTTAGACAAACAGTTATGCATCATCCATGTTTTATTGCATCAGGCACGAGTTGTATTGATTCATCAGAGCTGGGAGAGAGCATGACAAATTATTATAATTACCCGAATAATACATTATCTTTTTCATTATATCTCTTTGCTAGAGGTATTTCTTATATAAACCCAACGTTTTTTAGAGAAAAAAAATGCCCACTGGATAATAATTTTGTATTTACTATTAAAAAGAGTTAATTAATTTGTTCTCATTAATAAAAGTGGAAATGCTTGCTTTGACTGGGAGAAGGGAGGTCTTGCCAAAATGTCTGAATTACTGTGTTTTCATCTGATTGGAAGTATTTATGAAATATCGTAATCAAAGTGGGGGCACAGCTTGCCCATTCACCTCATGAAGTGCAATTGACTGTGAAGAGTTGCCTCCCTTAGGTGTACCAGTAACCTACAATCATGAGTTAAATCCTGGTTCACCTTGATTATGTATCTAGGTTTGTCACTCATCAGATCATGGGTTTCACCAAAGTGGTCGACGTCTAATTCCTGCATCGCTTTGTAATTGGGGTTTCCTCCCACATCAAGTTGGGATGCTGGGATATAACAGCGTTCAACTCACTCACTCACTCACTCACTCACTCACTCACTCACTCACTCACTCACTCACTCACTCACTCGATCACTCACTCACTCACTCGATCACTCACTTGATCACTCACTCACTCACTCGATCACTCACTCACTCACTCACTCATAATCACATATTTAGCTTATCCATAAAACAATGTGTAATATGTTCCCTGCACATGTTATTTTAGCCGATGTGAGTTAACATTTATGTTTTACAACCTATGTGAGTTAATGTTTTGTTATATAACCTATGTGAGTTAACATTTGTTTTATAACCTATGTGAGTTAACATTTATGTTTTATAACCTATGTGAGTTAATGTTTTGTTTTATAACCTATGTGAGTTAACACTTATGTTTTATAACCTATGTGAGATAAAACATTTTTGTTTTATAACCCTTGTGAGTTAACATTTATGTTTTATAACCCATGTGAGTTAACATTTATGTTTTATAACCTACGTGAGTTAACATTATGTTTTATAACCCATTTGAGTTAACATTTATGTTTTATAACCTACGTGAGTTAACATTTATGTTTTATAACCTATGTGGGTTAACATTTATGTTTTATAACCTATGTGAGTTAACATTAATGTTTTATAACCTATATGAGTTAACATTAATGTTTTATAAACTATGTGAGTTAACATTAATGTTTTATAACCTATATGAGTTAACATTTATGTTTTATAACCTATATGAGTTAACATTAATGTTTTATAACCTATGTGAGTTAAAATTTTGTTTTTTAAACCAAGGGCCTGATCATTGGATAGTCTTAGGGTGGGGTGGGATTTTGTTTTCAAATATGTAGTCCTTGAAAAAAAAAAGATTTGTCCCAAGAAAAGCATGTAAACAAGGGTTCACTGGATAAACTCAATGTTCTGAAAAAATGGGTTGTGAAAAAAGTGTTTTACTACAGACTAAAAAAATGCCTGTTTGAAGTGCTGTCAAAAAAAGAAAATTCTGTTTCAAGCAAAAGTCCCAGATTTCTCTGAATATAGAATGGTTGGTCTTTAATGAACCTCAAGCTCTTGCAATGCTGTCTGAGATTTGGAGACAGGATGCAGGGTCAAGTACTAGAGGTCAATATTGATAGTGTCAGTCCGCCTACTTGACATTTGGAAGATACTTACAAGTAATTGATTACCTGACCTGGAGGAATAATCACCACACCACAGTCAAAAACCAACTGATTTATTGGATAGACGTGTTCGTTTTCCTACATTGTGATTGGCCTAATGTTTTCTCATTAAAAGGGGGTTGTTTTTCACAGAATTTGAAGAAGCCATTTCCAAGTGATTCTTTGTGGTACAACTGTTGTTCAACTTTCTTTAGCATCTGCAAGAACTTTGTTCGTCATTATGTGAGTGAGTGAGTGAGTATGGTTTTAAGCCGCTTTTAGCAATACTCCAGCAATATCACGGCGGGGGACACCAGAAATGGGCATCACACATTGTACCCATGTCGGGAATCGAACCCGGGTCTTCAGTGTGACGAGCTAACGCTTTAACCACTAGGCTACCTGACCATCCCTCGTCATTATGTACTAAAATTGTAAAACCATAATTTCATTTTCATATATTTGTATTTTTATATCAGATAGGACCCCAAAATTACGAGAATCTGTACTTTACAAAGAAAGTGTTATTCCATATATAACTTTGGTTATATTTGACTGTTCATAGTATTATAATAGTGTTTTGAACTATCACAAAAGATATGTACTTGATAGTCACCCCTAACTGTAAACTACATGATAGTGTGTACTGGGATTGCAGTCAATAAAATTAGAGCCACGGCACTGTAGCTCACCTGAATATGTTGTCAACAGTTTCAAATGTCAACAAAGACAGACACTCAAAAGCTGCTGTCAACATTGCCATTGAAATATGTTCTGCCTAAATACGAGGACTAAACACTGACACTAAACACAAACACTAAACACTAAACACTAACATCTTATGATTTCAGCAACATATGATGGCATCATCAGGAGAATCGTCCGTGCCAAGTTCCATTTACAGAGCCAAATATGCTTTGGTTGGTTGGTTTGTTGTTTAATGCCGCTCTCAGCAATATTCCAACTAAATGACGGCGGTCTGTAAATAATCAAGTGTGGACCAGACAATCCAGTGATTGATATCACGAGCATTTATCCACGTAACTGGGATCGATGATATGCATCACAAACCAAACAAATATGCTTTTTGGGAGAATTAAGAGCATTTAAGATGTTGCTGAAAACAGATGTTGAGAACTACACATGTAGCAACATTTCATCATATTTTGAACACAAATGACTTCATAGTAATGGCAATAATTCGCTTCTTAATATGGCTTGCAAGGTAGCCATCTTGAAAATCAGATTTAAACGACTAGAACAAATTTAGGTGTCATCATTGTTTTCATTGGGGTATTCTGAGGAGGTGATGTGTATAGTGCGATGAGAAATGTGAGGACAAATCAAGGTCAACGTAATAGCAGTGAGTGAGTGAGTGAGTTGGGTTAACGCCGCTTTTAACAGTATTCCAGCTACATCACGACGTGTAAGGTTATGGCTGGAGAAAAGCCTAAAGTGACGCAGATCTCAGACGTTTACCACTTTGGTGAAACCAACGAGCATGGATATGGTGCTGACAAACCTAGAAACATAATTGGGGCGAACCGGGATTCGAATCCACAATTATAGGTTTCAAAAGGTTGGTGTGACAAAGTGACGCAACTCTTCACAGCGAATCGCGGCGCCTTAGCCAACTGGGCCCCCCACCCCATCCCCCCAACATAATAGCAAAAAATGGAAGATATGTGTTGATCCCCTCTACTAACTGTATGTACACCAAATAGTGGTCTAGTGGTAGAGCGGCGCCCAATAACATAAAATCCTTTGAGTGAGTGAGTGAGTTGGGTTTCATACAGTGTTGAGTTGTATTGTCAGCTTGATGTGGGAGGAAAGCCAAAGTGCTAGGTCTTAGACATTTACCAGTTTGGTGACACCCACAAGCACGGGTATGATGCTTGATAGAAGCATAATAAGGGTGAATCAGGATTCAAACCCACAATCATAGATTTCTGACCAGCAAGTAAGGATGCAGCAGTGAAGTGTAGGGCCTTAGATGACTGGGCCGCCTATTCCCCTTAAAAATACCTCTAGTGGTAGAGGTTCTGCCCGTTGAGCGGAAGGTCTGGTGTTCGATCCCCGGCCACGTCATACCAAAATACGTTAAAAGATGGTAGTTGTTACCCTGCCTGGCGCTCGGCATTAAGGGGCTATAACAAGGACTGTTCGGCCCGGAGTCAGTATACTGTGTCTGAGTGGGGTATTCATGTTAAACTGCGGCATGGTATCTCAGTGGGCTAGCACTATAAAATCAGCTTTAGTTGGACTAGTACAAGCAGCCACACACACACACACACACACGTGCATGCACGTCATTATGAGTGCTTGAATGAGACATTAAGCACATATTTTGTTTTGAGCCTAAATAATGTATGGAAGTAAAGATTGGGTTCTCATCGATCAGTGTAGATGGTGTTAGAGGCTCATTGTGTAATGGTGGACAAGATGCTAGTGACAGGCTTCATCATGTTCTTTGAATCAGTAGTGTAAACATTATTCCATGTCATGTTTGTCGATAGAGTGGGATCTGATCCATATTCTTTAGGTTAACATTTTGAAATTGGAGCTTTGAGACATGTTTGTTGGGTAAACTGTATATGCAGTGTGGTCTATGCTTTTTGATTGGTAGTTTGTTCTTGGGGCAATAGTATTTTATTCTGTGGTACTTTGGTAGGGGACTGCCTCCGTGGTCTAGTGGTAGAGCGTCGCCCGGAGGGCGGAAGGTCAGGGGTTCGATCCCTGGCCGCGTCATGCCAAAAGACATTAAAAGATGGTACTTATTGTTATCCTGCCTGGCGCTCAACATTAAGGGCTAAAACAAGGACTGGTTGGCTCAGAATCAGTATACTGTGTCTGAGTGGGGTATTCATGTTAAACTGCGGCGTGGTATCTCAGTGAGCTAGCACTATAAATCGGCATCAGTCCGGACTAGTACAAGCACACACACACACACACATGTGCGCACGCACACGCACGCACGCACGCACGCACGCACGCACGCACGCACGCACGCACGCACGCACGCACGCACACATGCATTGCATGCTGGTGACCTGGTGACCTACCCAGCATATGCCACCTGCGTCCCTCCTTCCTCGGCCGTCACGTAGTTGACCTGGCCATTCATCTGGGGGGGTGGGAACTGGGGCGACCCGTTGACGCTGGCAGCCATGGAGTCCTGGCCTGTCGTGGGCAACAGCTCAATACGTTCTGTAACACAAAGTAGACAGTATAGTCATGGGGGCATCAGTTTAATGGCCTGTAACGGCCTTAACAGGAGAAATGCCACTAAGTCTACGCAGGGAACAGCTAAGCTTAAATTTCTGGGCCGCATCCCAATCAAACCCTCTAATCCAAAACTTAATAAACCAAAATATCAGCCCCAAAAACCAAGCTCTATCTCGTAAACACCCCTTACTTACCCCAATATCCCAAAGAATAACAAACTACCTAAATGAACACCAAATTAAAAATCTTAAACAAAACTGCAAACAATCAAATATCTTCACCCCTAAACTTAAAATACCCAAAATAGACACAACACTAGCTAGCCAAATAAATAAACAAACCGACCCAAACATAGCTAAAACCACCACACTAGCATACATACACGAAAATTGGCCAAATTGGTGTCACATTTACACGGACGGATCTTCAGATCCGACCTCCAAACACACAGGTTTCGGAGTCCATACCACACAACCAACTAAAACTACACAATCCTTCCGACTCCCAAACAACCAATCAATATTCACGGCAGAACTAATGGGCATGGCCTCAGCCCTCCATAGTCAAGAATCCAAAAACCACAATAAAATCCTAATACTTACCGACTCCCTAAGTGGACTGCAAGCCCTCCAAAACAAAAATACCAAAAACCGACCTAAATTAATAAATCTAATACTTAAAAGCTCCAACGACCTAACTAACGCAGGCAAACAAATAACCTTCTTGTGGATACCCGCCCACGTAGGAATATACGGTAATGAAAACGCCGATAAGGCAGCTAAACTATCCCTCAAAATCCCAGAAATAAGCTTAAACTTACCCATCTCAAAATCAGAAATTAAAAGTGTAAATAAGCAAAAAATCACCAAAAAATGGCATAACCTATATCTTAACTCAAATAGCCAAATCAAAAAGGTACTCAGCAAACCACTAACCAAACCAAAAATTCACCATCCATCAAAAAAAATCGACAGAGTAATCACTAAACTCCAAACAGGACACACCAACCTAAATAACCACCTAAAAAAAATAAAAAAACATACTACAGGTAACTGCCCACACTGCAAACAACTAGAAACCCCAGAACACGCACTCATCTACTGCACACACTACCTAACACATCGAACCGCATTACAAACCACCCTCAATCTAAACAAGGCTCTCACTCTAGAAGCAATACTAAACCCACAAAATAAACTAGAAAACTTCAAGGCCTTAGGCGTATTCTTAATCAAAACGGAACTAATAAAACGCATCTAAAAACACTATAATCCACCAAATCAAAATTACATAAACACACAAACATCCACCATACCCAGCTCCCTTAGTTCTCCTCCCCTACCCCATTGGCATCTATTCCAAATCTCAAAATTCCCAAATTCTATATAAGCAACCCCTAAAGCCCCCTCTTGGGTTGCGCACACCACTTTCGCCCCTTTCGGAAACACATTAAATGGCCTGGCCGGGCCCGTGTGCGAAATACGCATCAGTCGGAAAGCGCACGTTAAATCTCCAAAGTAAGTAAGTAAGTAAGTAATGGCCTGTAACACAAGGGGCAGTCGGGTAGCCGAGTTGTTAAAGCGTTCGCTCGTCACGCCAAAGACCTGGGTTCGATTCCCCATATGGGTACAATGTGTGAAGCCCATTTCTGGTGTCCCTCGCCGTGATATTGGTGGAATATTGCTAAAAGAGGCGTAAAACACTACTCACTCACCCCTGTAACACAATGTGTACAGTATGGTCACCATTGTGACATCAATTTAATATGTCCTGTAACACAATGTATTGTGTAGTTGCCATGGTGACGTCTGTTCAATATGTTACATAATACATATAATGCAATAGGGCTATCATGGTGACATTAACTCAATGACTTCTGTAACAAATTATACAATGTAGTTGCCATGGTGACATCAATTCGATACGTTCTGTAACAAAGTTTACATTGTAGTTGCCATGGTGACATCAGCTCAATATGTTCTAAAACACAAACTATACAAAGTGAAAAGTGACACAACTTAATACATGTAGTTGCTATGGTGATATATATTCAATAAATTCGGGATGAAAACTTGCACAATATACAGTATAATTGACAAACTCATTATGTTCAGAAATGCGAAGTATACAACATATTTATTATATATAATTATGCAGTTAAAGCGGTCTTTTTATACATTTGTGGAAAAAATTCAAGCATTGTTCATTGCATTTGATACATCCCATATTATATCTTTGTAACTGTCGTTGCCATGTCAACAGGACTAAAAGGGGAGACCTTAGTGTTACGCCCAATGAAATCTGATTTGGGCAGATATTGGTATTTATTTATATATTTTTTACAATTTTTATTTATTTATATATTTACATTTATTATATTGAATGCAGTATTAAATACCTCTTAATTTAATGGAATAAGAACTATAAAAAAAACCTCACAATTTTGAATAAAATAACTTTTTTCCACAATTTTGGAACTTAGTTTGGAGTCACATTTTTGTTTTGGGTAGAGTCTAAGGAAGAACAAATTACTTTTGTAAAAGAAATACCAGGCCTGAGACCCACAATATCAAATGTTAGAATAATGATGCTTATGGGCCAAGTGGTCCAATTGCTGTGCAGGGTTATGGCTCAAAAAGGGTGGTTATAATTATGTCTGAAAAGGATCCTTTTGTTTGGGTTGGAATCCCAGATATGCTCCATGTATGATCTGAGAATCATCTTGTGGCTGTAGGTTTAACCAGAGTGAAGGAACATTTGCAGCCCGCAGCACTGGCACTTCCTCCAACATTGCAACATGAATGGGAGTGTTTATTCCACTCCACAAGGGCTGGGGTTAGGATAAAGAGAACATTATACGAGCAAGTGTGTCAAACTGCGTTTACAAATCAAGTGTCAGAATTCTTGTATTTCCCAAGCAAGAGCAAGGGTAATACTTGAATTCTTACACAAGTTTCGTAAAATCAGTATGACACACATGTGAGTGTAATAATTTCTATATTACCCAATATTTCCTTATCCTTTTAAGCTCCCCTTTAGAAAATGCACTGATCATCACCGCTGTACAAGAAAACCACAATTTGTCGAATGACGTCAACAATCTTTTGCTTACGATGATTGCATTTTTAGTGTCACGTCATTCTGGCCTAGGTCACAATAAGATTCAAATGATGTCAACAATGGCGTCTTGATGATGGAAACAATACATTGGTGCGTGTGAAGTGATATTTGCGCAAAAGCACATACAATTTTTTTAACTAATTTCTAAGGTTATGGGTAAATAAAGTGGTTCAAGCATTCGCATGACACGTTGAGAAGGCGTTGGTTCGATTCCCAACATGGGTACAATGTGTGAAGCCCATTTCTGGTGTCACCTGCCGTGATATTGCTGAAATATTGCTAAAAGTGGCATAAAAGCAAACTCACTCACTCGCTCCAAGTCAGCAGTAGATCACAAGTCATACATCTTATCACTGACCAATGGTCATTTAGAAAGTACAACTAAAATAACAAATAGTTTTGAGAATAAGTACCAGAATAGCTCCACAGTTGGCCCTGCGTGTCATCAGAGACCCGTGACATGATGACCTAGTGGATTGTGGGTAATTTTACCTGATGGAGTGGACTGTTTCGTTCTGGTTTACTGGTTCAGACTCGAATATATATATATATATATACAAGCTAAGCTACATTTCACAGGACAGTTGAAATGTCGCTGACTTTGCCATAAAATAACACTCACTCACTTACTTGAAATGTTGCTGACTACCATAGAATATCACTCACTCACTCACTCACTCAAAATGTTGTTGACTGTACCATAAAATAACACTCACTCACACACTCGAAATGTTGCTCACTCACTAACTCACTCACTCAAAATGTTGTTGACTACCATAAAATAACACTTACTCACTAGAAATGTTACTCACTCACTCACTCAAAATGTTGTTGACTGTACCATAAAATAACACTCACTTACTCATTCACTCACTCGAAATGTTGCTGACTACTCACTCACTCACTCCCTCACTCAAAATGTTGACTACCATAAAATAATACTCACTCACTTGAAATGTTGCTCACTCACTCACTCACTCACTCACTCACTCACTCACTCACAGGGGCATGGGTGGCTCAGTTGTCTAAGACTCCACAATTCATTGTGTATCACAGAGTTGCTTCCCTTAGGCGTGTCAGAATCCAATGATCATGGGTTTGAAGCCCAGTTCATCCTCATAATGTCTCTAGGTTTGTCAACACCTGTGCTCATTGGTTTGAGACCCTGAGGTGAAATGGGGTTATACGTTGCATTAAAGTTTGTTGCACTTATATAGTGACGTGTATGTTTTACTGCTTGTACTAGTCCGGACTAATGCTGATTTTATAGTGCTAGCCCACTGAGATACCATTACTCAGACACAGTATACTGACTCTCAGCCGACCAGTCCTTGTTTTAGCCCCTTAATGCCAAGCACAAGGCAGGGTAACAACAAGTACCATCTTTTAAAGTCTTTTGGTATTATGCAGCTGGGGATCAAACCCCTGACCTTCCGCCCTCTGGGCAAACGCTCTACCACTAGACCACGGAGGCAGTCTTCTCCATCATGAAGCTGACCAACATGATACAACTGAAATACTGCTTAAGTTGGCATCAAACCAAACTTTAACCAATAGGCATACAGAAATATACTTCTAGTTACAAATACACATTATAAGTGAGCAGTTTGATCTATAATGGAGTGACAGGAATATTAACAGCCTGTGGATGATGCCTACCTTAACAAAATGTCCTAAATCGACAGCTGACCTCTACTGCGCTGTCCTGACATTGACTGCGGAGGCTGACACTGTTGTACACTGACCTGGGGAACTCAGGACTGGCTGGACATAGCGCTATGCTAAGGAAGATGTATGGAGACTGTCACTCCTGGAAAACTTGTTCCTTATCCACATAACTAGAATTCCTCTCTGTCTGCCTG